TTTTTTTTTTTTTTTTTTTTTTTTCCTGGGCATTGTAACTGTGTTTCGGTTTAATGTCGGAGTTCTTTTGACATCCTATGTTTTAAGAACGAGTAACAAGTGTGGACTGCTTTTGTAAATTGCGCGATTATCGTTTCTGGAAAAGTAAACTTGCACATATTTATGATGTTTTTTTTTTTTTTTTNNTTTTTTTTTTTTTTTTAATTTGAGAAACAAATACTATTATTAATTTGTTGAAATTTAACAAATACTAACCATTCTATGTTACTAATAGAAGCTAATTGAATATTATTTCTGAGTAAAAACATAAACATGTCAAAAAAATATCTTAAGTTATTCTATACTAGTACAACACCCGTGTATTACACGGGTGCTTGTTAAAAAAAATATTCTTAAATTTTAAAATTAATGAGAAAACTATATTAAATTTAGTTTACTTTTCTAAAAAAAATATATTACTATATATTTTAGAATGATATGTGTTACTTATGACTTACATGTGTTATATTATATTAGTTTTTATAACTTATATCATATAACTACTTGAAATATAAATGTATTAGTTGATAAATAATTTTATTTTTCTAATTAATATTAAAAATAATTTTATTATTGTTATAAAGATACATATAAATTATTTTTTTATACATATAATATGGATGTTAAATCGAAACTCATCAAAAGAAGATTAATTTGATATATTACATATGTAAAACTGATAAAAAATACAAAAGTTATTAACTTTTAAAATACATATACAATTCAATAGTTATAATAAGGAATGATAATAAAATGCAATTAATACATGTAACATGACCATAAATAATCAACATATTTATGGTAATCTGAACCTAATTATTTTTTGTTTGAAATTTAATTAAAATTTACTCAAACCTAATAACGAAGCATGTAATTTTGCCACATATGATTTCGAAACACCAGAAACATCCACGTAGGCTCAGCGCATTCTGTAATTGAGACTTAGGAGAAATAGAGGGGGATGTTATTCTAGAGGTACACACAAATTCTTGTTAGAGTTAACTTGAGTAATTGAGACTTGGAGAAATAGAAAATGATAACTTTAATATTTAATAAAACTAGAAAACATAAAACATATTCCATTAATCTAAAGCTAGAAAATAAATTTCGACCAAAACCTAATAATAATAATAATAATAATAATAATAATAATAATAATAATAATAATAATAATAATAATAATAATAATAATAACTCAAAAAGATAAACGAATGATCAATAAGCAATATCTAATAGTTAATCATAGCTATATATTTATTGGCTCAAACTTCATATAATTCTTCACTTGTTCTCGTTGTTGCTACTATTCGAAACGTCTGAAGGGGTAGCCTTGCATCGTCTATAGTAGCACATAATTCTTCACATGTTCTCGTTGTTGCTACTATTCGAAACGTCTGAAGGGGTAGCCTTGCGTCGTCTATAGTAGCACATAATTCTTCACATGTTCTCGTTGTTGCTACTATTCAAAATGTCTGAAGGGGTAGCCTTGCGTCGTCTATAAGAGTAGCACAACATTGCAATGGCGATAACCATTAAGCAAAAAACTATGGCGACAATTATTAAAGGACCAGATACATCCATTTTTTTTCTTGATGTATATGTTCAGTAGTTGGTGATCAATTTATAGGACAAAATATATATATATATATATATATA